GTTATTTATGATGTACATACCTCCTATTTTTTAACCAACCAGATTGCATTTTGGCAATGATTATAACCCGTATGTAGGAGTAGCTGCAATGATTAGTGCATAAACACAAGTTCCTTCAATATAATGCTCTCATGAAGTTTGAAGAGTCAGTGAAAACAAATTTATCAAAATTTCTTTCTTTTCCTTTACTCAGGTTTTGTTATGTCTACTCAAACATAAATATTTGTTGGGCAAAAAAATAGTACTTCTCTCTGCAATCTGTACTTGTTGAAAGCCATATTTATGTTACCTATTTCTGTGATTTGAAAGCAGAGTATTTCATTTATTTTCATGTGTTTTTTTGTTGTTGTTGTTGTTTTTAGTTTACCAGTAAATCAGAAGCTTTATTACTAAAAATACGTGGAGTTATCAACCAGTTGGCTTTTGGTATTGACAAAAGGTACTGTTAAAATGAATTTTTTATATCTTTTTATTTTATTATTTTTTGGCCAGTGTTGTCTTCTCTATTGTTCTCACCAGCCTTTTGTTTCTTGACTAGATAAGTACCCCAGATGTCTATTCTTAGAGAATTTCATATTATCTTCTGCTTCTTATATTGTTTAAATATTTCTCAAATTTGACAACTATGATGTTATAGAACACTTTGAGACAAAACTAAAATAATGATACTATTATACTTGTTTTCCTGGTTTCTTTTACTTCTTTGCCTCATTTTAGTAGCTTTCCCTCTATTATCACTTTCTTATGTGATTACAAATAGAATCAATAATTTTAGTATGTATTTTTCTTAACCTTGCTACTTTTCTTGGTTTTGATTTAGGGTTATTTGAGTCTGTCACTTTTTTCTTCTGTAAAACCTTTATTAATGCTATACTTTAATTTTTGAAATCACATTAATATTCACTCATTCATTTGGGGTAGTGCTCTCACCAATTACTAGATATAAAACTTGTCTCTTGTATTTACAGTAGAGTGTGGCATTCGACTGCTACACTAAATTAGATTCTTTTTTCTTTTTATCCATATAGCAAATCAATATGTGTGGATCAGAATAAACCACTGTTTATCACAGCAGGATTGGATTCCTTAAGTCATATAGGTAGGTGAGCTTATTAAGATTGTTCAGTCTTTTTTTAATTGCTTATTGATTTTATCCTACTCCATGTTCACTTCATCTCCAACATACGACCATTTCTGGTTTCATTATCATTGCTGTTATTTCTTATGTGTTTATTTGTATATACAGTATTGATGCAACATACATCACATTGACATTTGTGATGGAAAGTTTGTTGCCATATTAGAGACAAATTTCTCATCTCTCTTCCACTAAAAATTTGTACGTATTTCATTTTCGTTACTGCCTTCTAGGTACTTTTATATTTTAGCTTTTGGGTTTAGAAGAAAACCAAGAGCATAGAGTGGTCAGGAAATTCAAAGCTATATATAATGGGCAATGATGAACATTAGAGAATCAAGTGATGGAATAAACCCAAAAGAACACAGTTCTACTAATTAAGTATGCCTTAATGTTTCATTATGAAAATAGTTTACCTCATCTAATGGGATATATATCCTAAATTTATAGGTGCCATAGGCTCATGAAGCAAAAGGAATTTTACAAGTTTATTTAAGCAAGTTCCTTGTCTTCCTATAGAAGCAATTTTTATTTTGAAGATCTTTGGGCCTGAAAACTATTTAGGGTTGTCATAGTTTGGTTTTAAATTCTAGTAGGCATGCAAAAAAAACCTAGTTGTAGCAGTACTTTTCTTTTTTATTTCTCATTTCCCATTATTCTTACAAGCTAAAGCTGACTTCAAATGTAGAGATTTTGTAATGAGATTAGAGATTGAATTGGAAAAAAAGGGATAGTGATGATTAATGAGTGGTTATGGAGACTGAGTTTTTCTTTTTTTTTTTTTTTCAGTGACATTGGTTAACAAAATCCAGTCAGTTTCAATTGTGCAATTCAACAGTATGTCATACACACACACACACACACACACACACGCACACACGCACACATACACATACACACACACACATATAAATACATATATATATGGTGGTTTCAATCAAAAAAGGCTGTGTTGCCCCCAGATCTGTTAGAGAAGACAGGCCATTCCAAGCAGATGCTTTTGAAAGCATCATCCAAGAAGTCCTGCTTAGCTCTGGCCCAGGGGGAATACATAGCCCCTGGTGGGAAGCAAGAGGCAGTGAACGTGTTGATACTCTGCAAAACTAAGAACGTGGTAAAGAGGCTATGGAGAAGGCACTAGCCCAGGGTCACAGAGTTTGTTAGCAGCCTGCTTGTACTTTAGCCCCTGCTGCCAAATGACCCTTGGTGTGAGCTGGGTGTCCCAGGGGCTCACTGGCAGACATGAGAAGGCCAGTACATCTGGTCGGCGATCTGAGGTGTATGAGACACATCTGATCCTTTGATCACTCCACCAAAGTCACCCTCTGGACTGCACACTGCCTCCCTGGAGTGTGGACGGAGGGGGTTCCAGAGCCACAATTCGACATGGTCCCTTCTCATCCCAGAGGCCCAGGGGCTCCTTCCTGAGGCCTCAGCTCCATCCTGCTTTCTTAATCTGAAATCAGACTTCTAGACTGGAGCAGACACCTCCACCTCCCTCACCTTTCTGCCTGGGCTGGTCATGGTGGTCCTTTTATACTCATTTAAAATTGAGAAAACTGAGGCTCAGAGAGGTGATGACACAGCTAATAAGTGACAGAGTCAGAATTCAGACCCACAGCTGTCTGAAGTCTTCCGAAACTGAGCTCTTTCCACCAGTTTAAGGCTGTTCCTCGACAACAACGATGGATGCGCAGATCAGACAATGGAAGGGTGGACCAAAGCATCCCTGGGATCGCTGTCTGTGGGTGGCCCTGAATTCAGCATGAGAATACAGAGAGGAATGAGACATAGTTTGTATATCAAGGAGCCCAATGTGTCAGAGAGTGCTTCTCAAACTTCTGTACCCAAGTACCCGCAAATGACTGAATATTCCCTAAAGAACCCCAGGGCGCTGGGGAAGCCTGTGCATTTGTCGCAAGTGAGAAATTTCTTGGAAGTCTCCACTTTTAGCTTATAATTCACATGAATTGAGTGTATTATTCCATAGCTTATATATATATATAGAGAGAGAGTGTATTATTGAGTGTATTATTCCATAGCTTATATATATATATATATTGCATTGTATGTTTACCACCCGTAGTTAGATTTCTTTCTGTTACTAGTGTTTGACCCCTTTTACCCCATCTACCGCATCTACTCTCCTCTCCCCACCCTCTGGTAACCACTTGTTGAGTTTTTTATTTTTATAATTATCATTAATACCACCTTAATTTTAGTAGCAGTGAGAATCACTGTGTACTTATAGATAAAGCTGATGGAAATCTTTTGCTAAAATTAGTAATTGGAGGTCAGAAAAGGGTTGAGAATTACTAAATTTAAAAATCATGAGCTTGGAGCCCATCGAAATTAAAAACTTTTTCTCTTGATAGCTCATGTGAAAAGGATGAAAAGATACGTTATACTCTAGGAGAAAATATTTTCAAACCACATATCCAACGAATGACTAATATCTAGAATATATAAAGAACTCAACAGTAAAAAACAAACAATCCAATTAGAAAGTAGGCAAAACACACAAGCAGGCATTTCACTGAAGAGGATATCCAAATGGCAAATAAACACGTGAAAAAATGTTTAATATCATTAATTATTAGGGAAATTCAAATTGAAAACACAATGAGATATCACCATACACTATCAAAATAATTAAACTAAAAAATAATGGCAACACCAAGTGCTGACAAGGATACGAAGAAACTGGATCATTTATATATTGCTGGTGGGACTGTAAAATGGTATAGCCACTCTTGAAGACAGTTTGACAGCGTCTTATAAAACTAAGCATGCAGCTACCATATGACCTAGAATTGTACTATTGGGCATTTATCCCAGGGAAATGAAAATTTATGTTCACAGAAAAATCTGTACAAAAATGTTCATAGCACTTTATTTGTAATAGCTAAAAACTTGAAACAACCAGATATTATTCAACAGGTAAATGAATAAACAAACTGTGGTACATTTATACCATAGAATATTACTTAACAATAAATAGGAACAAAGTATTGATACACACAGCTTGAGTGACTCTCCAGGGAATTATGCTGAATGAAAAAAGCTAATTAGAAAAGGCTACATACAATATGGCTCTATTTATATAAAATTTTTAGAATGAGAAAATTTTAGAAATGAAGGAAAGATTTGTGGTTATCAGAGGTTAGGGACAAAACCGTGGATGGGGCAGGCAGAAGGTGAGAGGTTGGGAAGGAGGTCAGTGTGATTATTAAAGGGCAACACAAGGGATCATCGTGGTGATGGAATTGTTTGGTATGTTGACTGCAATGTGGATATATGAACCTTACAAAGGTGATGAAATTATATAGAACTTAATAAACACACACACACACTTATCAGAGGTTAGGGACAAAACCGTGGATGGGGCGGGCAGAAGGTGAGAGGTTGGGAAGGAGGTCAGTGTAATTATTAAAGGGCAACCCAAGGGATCATCGTGGTGATGGAATTGTTTAGTATGTTGACTGCAATGTGGATATATGAACCTTACAAAGGTGATGAAATTATATAGAACTTAATAAGCACACACACACACACACACACACAAGGATGAGTAAAAAACCTAGGAAAGCTGAATAAGAGCTATGGATTATATCAATGTCTTTCCCACCAAAGTGACAGGTGGCCCTGAGAGAGCAACAGTGAAACAGTCTTAGTGAACTTTACAGATGCCGAAACACAACAAAAAATCCCAGATTATAGATTTAAAATTACCGAGAAGTGGCAGCGAATTTTTTAAATTTTCAAATTAAATTATACAACCAATACTTGAAGACATTCTCCTTATAAAATGTCAAAATAGAATATATAAGGATTGAGTTTAATATGTATCTTTCCAGACTATTTTCTATATATGTGTATGTTGTATAGAGAAAAATATTTGTATTAACATAATTGTATCATTCTCCATCTATCATTTTGAAATTTCCCTCTTTTACTCAATATGTCTTAGTGGCTTTTCTATATTAATGCTACGTATAGGCCCATTTGGTATTTTGATTTCTGGATAGTATTATAAAATAATTGAGTTCACTGTTAATGGACATTTTGGTGGTGGTGAATTTTTCACTAATACAAATGATGCTTCAGTATGAAATCATTAATACATGTGTACAGGTGTTTCTAGAGTAAACACAAAAACTGGAATTGCTTTTTTAGTATTTTAATAGTATTTAATAGTGCCAAATTACCCCCCAAATTAGCTGCCCAATTTGCACTCTAGCCAGCAGCACATAAGAGTGTCTGTTTTCTTATAAATTCACAAGCACATGAGAATCTCAAATGTTTATATTTTTGCTGAGTAGCAATTTAAGTGTGAGGAAAGAGAATTACAGTTTACTCATGACTGTCTCCTCTTGTAGTACTGGAACTTGTCCCAGTGGTCTTGCTACACTGGGGTGGGGTAAATTTTAGTAGTGACTGTATTAGGGAGGGGGGAAATGAGTGATCTCAGATTTATACTTTTATAAGTGTCATCAGCTTTATTGGTAGAGTTTGTAATGTTTTAATCAATGCAGTCATTGGAGTAAAACTTCCAATTTTAGGATCTCCTCCTGTTCCTGATAATGACATTGGAAAGCTTCATGCCCATTCACCAATGGAGCTGTGGAAAAAAGTGTATGCAAAGCTCTTTCCACCAAAGGTATATATTTCTAATTCTTTTAAAGCAAGAATTTTCAGCACTTTTCAACAGTTATTGGGAAATGTTCTAATGAGCCTATTATGATAACTTTGTTTTCAACTCTCATGCTCGAAAGTTAACATTCACTTAAAATCTATTGTTTATGAGGCCCTGTGGAGGTTAAAAGGTGGGTAAGACACAGTTCAAGCAGAGCTCTCTGGCTATTAGACAAGGAGAAACCTCAACTGAAAGGAAAGGGAAGAAAGAGAACCTGGTGGAATTTGAATGGCCCTTGTGGTGATCATAAAAGCTCAAAAGAGCGTAGAGAGCTTTCATGGCTGGCTAAAGAACAGGAAGTTGGTTTGAGAGATAGATGGTCGACGCTGAAAATTTTGGGTTATGGACATGAAATGATTTGAAGACTTGTAATTTCAGACTGTCAACACACTAAAAGATATCAAGGACCCCGCAAAAGACCCTCAGTATGCTGAAAGTGAAGTTGATGAAATGAGAATTCAAAAGGATCAGGTATTATTCTAAACATTTATTTTATTTCATCTTGCATTATCATAAAAATACCTCTAGAATTCCATAGGTTTTTCTCTATGTTTTTTTTTTTACTTTACAATATTTAAATAGTATACTGCACTATAGAAAAATAAAATTCCGATATGCATAAAGAAGGAATTAAAAATCACCTATCATTCCATCACCCAGAGATGACTTAATATTGACATATCCTTTTTGGATTTTCCAGTTTACTTTATGTTAAAGATGGGTAGTGATTCTTACCTTGCTGTTGGGAATACTTTCATAATATTCTTTCGTTTGTGCAATTATATAAAAGGGTTTGGTTTTTATTAGGACATTCAGACATACCTATACTCTTTTTGTACCAGAAAAATTGACTACCCAGTCTGAAAGCACACAGACTAATAGATAAAAATATAGGATTTCTCAGGAAAGTGGTTAAAAGTGGAGACTGCATTCCATATATTCCAGATACCACTGTTAGTGATACGCAAGTCTGATGTAAAAATGCAAAAGTTGGTAAATTCATCATGACCTAATACTTAGATTTTCTCAGATCTCCTTTTAGTTTGATAAAATGAGACATTGTATGGAATCCGACCTCATATAAGTAAGTTTATGTATAGTAAACACTATAAATTGAATGCCTTGACAACCTATCAGGTGGAATTTGTAGAGCTATAGCTTGGGCAGTCACATTGTTGCAAGGATAACCTGAAACAACCATCCACTAGGAGCAGTGATAGGGTATTTTGGTCAGCACTAGCCTTTTGCCATCAGGAACTCTATAATAAGTAAAACATTCTATTTAGACATAGTCCAGAAGGCTTTTGAAAAATGTCATGAATATTTAGAGGTTTCATAGCTATAGCAAAGTGAAAGTCATATTGTAATCCCAATAAAAATTCCAATGGCGTATTTCACAGAAATATATCAAGCAATCCTAAAATATGTATGGAATCACAAAAGACCCTGAATAGCAAAGCAATCTTGAGAAAGAAGAATAAAGCTGGAGGCATCATGCTACCTGATTTAAAACTATATTATAAAGTTTTAGTAATCAAAACAATATGGAATTGGCATAAAAATAGACACATAGGTCAATGTAACAGAATAGAGAGCCTGAAATAAACCCATTCATATGGTCAATTAATTTACAACAACGAAGACAAGAAAATACAATGGGGAAAGGTCAGTCTCTTTGATAAATGGTGTTGAGAAAACTGGACAGTGATATGCAAAAGAATGAAACTGGATTACTATTTTACACCATACACAAAATCAACTCAAAATGGATTAAAGACTTGAATGTAAGACCTGAAACCATAAAACTCCTAGAAGAAAACATGTGGTAAGCTCCTTGACATTGATCTTGGCAGTGATTTTTTTGGATTTGACACCAAAAGCAAGGGCAACAAAAGCAAAAATAAATGTGACTATATCAAACTAAAAAGCTTCTGTACAGCAAAGGAAACCATCAACAAGATGGAAAAGCAACTTACTGAACAGGAAAAAGTATTGCAAATCAAAAATCTGATAAGGGGTTAATATCCAAAATATATAGAGAACTCATACAAATCAGTAGCAAAAAAAAAAAAAAAAAAAATCTGTTTATAAAACGAGCAGAGTATCTTAATATACAGTTTTCCAAAAAAGACATACATATGGCCAGTGGATACATGAAAAGATGCTCAACATCACTATATATCAGGGAAATGTAAATCAAAATCATAATGAGATATCATCACCTCACACCTGTTAGAATGGCTATTCTCAAATAAACTAGAAATAACAAGTGTTGGCAATGATGTAGAGGAAAGAGAACCCTTGTGCACTTTGGCGGGAATGTAAATTGTTGCAGCCACTATGAAAAAGAGTATGGTGGTACTTCAAAAAATTAAAAATAGAACTGTGGGATCCAGCAATTCTACTTCTGGGTATTTATCTGAAGAAAATGAAAACACTAATTCAAAAAAATATGTGCACCTCCTCATGTTCATCGCAGCATTATTTACAATAGCCAAGATTTGAAAACAAATTAAGTTTCCAAATCTTGGGTGAATAGGTAAAGAATGTATGGTACATATGTGGAACATTGTTAAGCCATTAAAAAAACAAAATGAAATCCTGGCATTTGCAACATGGATGGATTTTGAGGGCATTCTGCTAAGACAGAAAATAACAAATACTGTATGATTTCACTTATATATAGAATCTTAAAAAAATTTTTAAAACTTAGCTCATAGATAAAGAGAACAGATTAGTTTTTGCCAGAGGCAGGGAGTGAGGTGTAGACCAAATGGGTGAACAGAGTCAAAAGGTACAAAACTTCCAGTTATAAAGTAAATAAGTCTTGGGGATGTAATATATGGCATGATAACTATAGTTAATAATACTGTATTGCATATTGGAAACTTGCTAAGGGTAGATCTTAAAAGTTATCACAGGGAAAAAAAATCTGTAATTATGCATGGTGACATGTTAACTAGACTTACTGTGATGATCATTTCACAATACATTCAAATATTGAATCATGTTCTACACGTGAAATTAATTTATATCAATTATATTTCGATTTTTTAAAAAAGAAGCATGTTGTAGGAAGAGTAACATGACCTCACGTAACCTTTATTATGTGTGTAGCTTGGGTAGAGAGATTAATTGGATGTCATCCCTGAATTAATGTTTATCTAGGAGTCAGTGACTAACTGCCATTGTTAATAAGAGTATGTTTATATTGCATAACGATCCCTTTTATTACATTTACGTATATAGGTAGTATTAAAAGGGCTAGGGTATTTCTCAATATCATGAGTTTTCACATTCAAATCCATCTTCCCTAACTGATCTAAAACCTTAGGAATTTTGAGTTGAACTAGAAAGCAACCCCACAAAACCTATATCATTCTTTGCTCAGCTCTTGTACCTCTCTGCTATTTCACTTAATTCTGTACTCTCTTGACTGAGAGATTTTTTAAACCTACCTGAAAAGTTATAATATCTTAATTTTACCTCTAAACCAGTTTTATTTGTAGTATTTTAATAGATAAATGAATTGATTTCAGTTTGCCTACATAGTTCCTTAATGTTATTTTATGCTTCTGCTTCGAAGTTACCTTAATGATTAGTAGTTGGTGCCCAATTGTTTGATTGCCAAATTTTGACATTCTAATGTCTAAAATTTTAAAGTTGTGTATTATTTATACTCTCCTAAAGTAGTTTCGGGGACCTACATTGTTTCCAGCTGTATGCTAACACACAGAGAAGCTGACTTAGGTATGAGAAAACTCTAAAGATTAATTGTAAAAGATTCCTATTACTTTCCCTCTAAACACTTAAAAATAATTTTTTATGGGGAAGATAGTAATGCCAATTTTATTAACGCAGTCTATAAAAGAATTCACTTGTATTAAGTGAAAATCTAGCCTACAAGTCTACAACTCTTTCTTCAATTGCCTCTTTGATCTTTTCTTACGATTATTGCTGCACAGCATTTTTCAGTGAAAATAGCACTCTAATCTTTAAATTTGATTTGATTTACCATTTGGGACAATAATAATAATAATTTTTAAAAAAGTCTCACCCAGGGGTTTCTATAATTACAGAAAAGTATGTCCTTACTTCAAAGCAACCTATAAATGCTTAAAGTCTATACCGTGTGCTGTGTCTGCATACCTTTAAACCAAATAGTTACTTCTGATTCCTGCACTTCTTGGGAGGAAAGATGGCATCCTGTTTCATTAATATATAATACAATCACATATGAGTGGAGGGCTGGCCTTGAGCCTGACTGAGACTAATGTGATCTTCCTTTTGACTCCCTCTCCATCTCCAAGCTCCATTATTAGTGGCTTAAAATAATCATCAGGAATAAAACAAAAAATAAGTCCAGGGACTTAAGCTTTGACTGTGAAATTAAAGCACATCACTTCTAAGATGGAGAGGATAACTCATGAGTTCCATGCAGTTCCTCCAATGCTTGAACCTTCAAAAAAAAGCCCCAAGTCATTTCATTCTGCCCAGAAGAATTGCAGTTAAATCACACTTCTATTAAATAATCTTGCCAGCAGGGGAGGCCCTGAGCCACAATATTCCATAATACCTTATTTTAAGTCCTTGGTAGTAAAACATGTCATTTATGATAGCTGTCCAGAATC